GGTTGGAATGATGGTCAATAAATGTTTTAATAAGATGTATCAGATGCTAATAAGTAAGAATCAAATAAATATACTTAAGAGTACTATTTGAGACACTTGATAGATCCTTATATGGTACTCCTTTTATTATTGCACCATTTTATAAAGGAGTGGTATTTCATCATATAACTTGTTTGAATTGCAATAATTCTCATGGTAATGAAGAGATCATGTATGATTTGAATATTTAAGTGGAAGGCAATAAAAATTTATCTGAAGGATTATTCAGTTATATTAATCCATTTTTATTGGATGGTACCAATTAATATTTTTGTGATATATGTGGTTTTAAAGTAATATTATTATTAAATATTAATAGGTAGATGCATTAAAAGGAGACAAGATTAGAAAATTACCATCAATATTGACTATAACTTTGAATAGATATACATTTGATTATGAGAGAATGCAAAGAGTGAAATTAAATGATAGATTTGAATTTCCATTAGAAATAGAGATGGGAGCATATTTAGAAAATCCAATTGATAATTTGATATATGAATTATAAGGTATAATAATTCATAGAGGTAATGCTCATGGAGGACATTATTTTGCTTATTTTAGAGATTTATTGGATGAAGGAGATTGGTTATCTCATATTCCAGAATATTGGTAAGAGAAAGTAGAATATTAATAATAAAAGAAAAAAAATGAAGATGAGGTTGATTATGATGAAGTTTAATTGCCATTTGAGATTAGTAATCCTAAGGTTGCATAAGGATGGTATGATTTTAATGATAATTCTGTTATTCCTATACCTGTTAATAAGATATAAAAATAATATTAGGGATCAGAGAGTGCTTATATTTTGATTTATAGAGATAGGAATTTGGTACCATCTAAATTATCAAAGGAGGAGATACCTAAATATCTTTATGATTATGTGAATAAATTAAATGAAAAGATTGAATAAGATAGATAGATTTATGAGGAAGCTAAATAACATATTATTATAACAGTAGCAGATGCTTCAATTATTGATTTATAAAATCATAAATTATTAGATGAGAAATATGAAAAATTAACATATAAATTAAGATTATCTTCAACAATTTAATAATTATATGAATAAATTAATAAAGATGGATATTGGCTCTTAGAATTTTAAGAAAATTATTAAAATAAATTATTACATTTTCCAAGATATTTAAAGAATTTAGAAAGTACATTAGAAGAAGAAAAGGTTGAACATGAATCAACTTGGATATTAGTAAAGAAAGATTAAGATATTTCTTAAGTTGGATTGTAAAAAGTACCTTATAGACTTAATTTAATCATTAATAAACAACCTTAGTCTTTTTTATTGTATATTTCAACTACATTATTGGAATTAAAATAATTGATATTTGCATTGTCTGGAATTCCTGAAAATGAATAAGAATTAAGAAATGTTCAAAATTAAAAAATAATATCAGATTTAAGTGATGAAACATAATTGGGAGATATGTAATTAACTATTGAAACTTAAATATTGGTTAAGAAAAAGATGCCAATTTAGAATGTTAACAAAAATGAGAAAGATTTATAAGTAGGAGATGATATTGTATCAATTTTAGTAGAATAAGGTGATAAAGTTGGAGTTTCAAAATTTTGTAAAAATTTATTTCTTATATATTTTAGATGTGAATATCAATTAGACTGTTTAAGAATTGATTGAATTTATTAAAGAATAATTTGGAATAATTGATGCTCATAGATTAAGAAATCTTAATGGATCAATCCTATTTTGTAAGACTGATCTTCCTATTTAATTAAAGGAATTTTAGAATTTTAGAGAAGGGTAAATTATTATTGTTACAATATTTTAGTGGAGCAAGATTATAAATAGAAAAGGGAGAAGTTCCTGAAAATGGAAAGATTTCAATAGTAGTTCAATATAAGGAATAGAATATAGAAATACATGTTGATCCTAGAGAAGATAAGATTGAATAGATTAAATAAGAAGCATGTAAATCTTTTAATTTGGATTCTTCTTAACATAGACTTTATAAAGTAGATTGGTTATAAGTTGCATCTGAAGGATTAACTGATGAAACTAAAACAGTTTCTTAATGTTATTTAAGAGATAGAGATTTACTTATGTTATGTGATAAAACAGCATAAATTGATTGTGAATTGATAAGATTCCAACTTTATTCAACTACTACTGGTTATCCTGATGATTGTTTGTTTTAAAAACATGAAACTATGAGAAAAGATGCAACTTTAAAAGATTTGAAATAAATGATTATTTCTACATTTGGATTGAATATAGATATTGATCATTTAAGAGTAAGAGATATCAATAAAAACAGATTCTTTGGATAAGTTTTTAGAAAATTAGAATTACCTTTATAAAAATTATAATTCTCTACTAATGATATTGTTTATTAAGTTTTAAATAACCCAGAAAATTTAAAAGATGATGAAATGCTCTTATTAATTAAATAGAGAGATCCTATAAATAAAGTATACATCAAACCATAAGAATTTATCTTTAAAACATCTAAGACTCCTACTCTAAATGATTTAAAAGAATAGATCTAAAATTTTATTGGAATTTAAGAAGGAAATGAATTACAATTAGCTAAATTTATTATTTATGAATTCTAATGGTTACATATAAACCCTAATGGTCTATAGAAATAATAATAAGGTAAAAATAAAGGTAAGCAGGGTAAATAAGGAAATTAAAATAATAAATAAGTTTAATAAACTTAAAAATAATAATAATAATAAAATATTTGTGATAATTTAAAAAAAAATCCTATCAATTTAGGAGAAGGAGGTATTAAATATTATATTCAATTAGATTTTATTGGTTACAGAATTGGCAATCATCCAAATGATGACTTCCAAACTAAAGAAGATAATGAAGTATATATTTATAGATAAACTTTATTAGCTAAGAGAAAGAATGATTGCTGCTCGTAAAAACAAACATAATGCCTTAGGATCAATTAAAAGATAGTAAGAATAAGGTTTTGTTGTAGATATTGAATGATATTTTTTATAAATTCATCATACCCTAGATTGTTATTAAATAAATAATTATAGTTCTAAATTCATTTAATATATTTCTCATATATTATTAGAAATATTATTAAATTATTTATGTAATATATTTAGAGCATTTATTATATTAGTACTTCCTTAAATAAGTTATTAAGTGTAGGTATTTAATTAAATTGATTTACAATTAAATAGCATAATTATATCAATATGAAAATTGAAGAATATTTATTATTACAAAAAATACTTATTTATTATCTTAATTATATTTAGATCATCATAAAAATTTACATCATTATTCTCTTATATAATCTAATTCTTTAGCAATTTCTTTAAGAATAATATTTAAATAGTATTAGATTATAATTTACATAAATGTATATTACAATCATTAAAATAAGTAATAGAATGAATTTAATTAGTTTTATTTGAAATGATCATTCTTTATCAAAAGCTTTTTAAAGTGATATTAAACTGATTAATTACGACAAAGTAAATTAATTTCTGAGTTTACTTCTGAGTTTGTATGTTAATTCTTGAATTTACTATATCATTCATACTTTAGACTTATAATTATCTTATATATCTATAAAATATATCATAATAATTCTTTTTATAATAAATTAATAAAAATTAAATATATAATAAAATGTCTTAAGTAGATAATTCAAATCCTAATTACATCACCTTAGATTAGAATCAGATAAAAATAATCAATTACCCTGATTTAAGCAATTATGTTCCACCTCCATCATACAATTCCATGCCAGTATATTAGAATACATAAGATGAATTAAAATAATAGAGAATTCAATTTTTATTTGATTGTTATAAGAATTAAGCCATATCATTTTTGATTGTGTTGATTATACAAATTTTAGGATTAACAAAATGGTTCATGTCAATATCAACTAAATTCTCCAAAATCAATTTAGCAGGATATTATACTAGCTATTCTGAATATAAAAATTATCATCCAAACTCTTAAACCTATGATGAATATGAAAATTGGAGATAAAGTCAACGGTATGAAATATCTGAAGTAAGATGGACATTTTATGTAATTATAACCTTATTGATCTTAAACACTTTAGTAATACTGTTTGGTAGAATTAATCGAACCATTGTATTCTATATTGTATAAAATTTAGGTTAATTATTAAAGATCCCTTTTCTTTTCTTAGGCAGTGCTTATAGGACTTAGTCTTGTTGGTTATGCAGGAAAGTATAAGGATAACTATTGGATCCATAAAGATATATGTTATGTAACAATTACAACTAATTCAATATTACTATTAAATAGTATAGTGATACTTTCACTAATTAAAATTGATAAACTTAACTATTACAACAAATTTGCAACTAATTTAATCTATATGTAGATTCCATTTAACTTTATTTTGGTTTTAATTTTCAAGAATTTTGAAGCCATAATACTGATTTTTGAATCTATGGCAATATATGGTTTCTATTACTTTAATCAACTCAATCATTCCTTATTATTGAATCCAGAAGATCTTCCAGTTCGCAAAGATATTACTAAACTTTTTTAAGAGATAACTCCTATCAATAATGAATCTCAAGGAATTTAATAAAATAATCCAAATCTTCTAACGATTCCAAAAAAGACATTAGTAATAATAGCAGCACTTGGAATTCAAATTATATTAATAATCTTTTTAATTTTAACCAGAAACTAAATATCATGTGCTCCATTGATATTGTTAGCTGGTTCGATAGTTGGTTTAATATGTGAGACATAAGTTGCTTCAAGAGTAATACAATAATATATATAATATAGTCCTTATAATTTGATGATAATTTCATAGCAGCAAGCATAGTTTATTTAGATTTATTATGTCCAATCTAAAACTTTGTTAGAAGTATTGGAATTGAGATATGATCAAATAAATTCATAAATTTGGCAAATAATATAGTTTATTTTTATTCCATTTTTATAATTAAATTATATGATACAAGCAGATTATAATCAACCTTCCTATGTTGAAATGATTAATCAATCAATTTTAATTGAGAAAGTAAAATATCCTACATTAGATCCAATCATTTCTAATGATTAGTTGAATAATAAAGAAATAAAAAATGATTTATAAGTTGAAAATAAACAACCTTTTAGATAGACAATAAATAGAGCACACTTCTTAACAAAATATTATTGTTATTCAATTCTATAATATATAGGAGTGTTATCAATATTTTTATTGACTCAAGATTTTAGGTTTGTTGAAATTTTGTGTATTGTGGAATACAGTCCATTTGAAGAACACTAAAATTTTTATTATGGTTCAGAAGAATATCGAAATGGTGAAGACTATAGAAAATTATTTGGCAGATATGATTCTTTATCAAGGTACTCTTTTAGATGGACTTATTTTATATTTATAGCATTAACAATTGGATTGACACTTAAACTTATTATTGGAAGATCTTCTAGAAAAATGGTATGAGAATATAATAATCTTAGTAGGTTAAACATTAAAAATGGTTTTATATTGTTTACACAATTTTAATTGGATTAGATTTAGGTGGATTTGCTTGTATTTCAAAAGGGTCATGGAGAAATGATGCAAAAATATTTTATACAAAAATAGTATGTGTTGGTTTAGTTGGAAATGCTCTACTCTAGATTATTTTGATTTAGATAAACAAATCACATTCTTATGGAAAAGTATCATCCTATTTGATATATATACTATTCCCAATCAATAATTTTTTATTTGCATTTGATTGTGAATACAACAAACCAATTCTAGTATTAGAAGTTGTATTTGTGTATGGAATCTATTATTTTAATTAATTGAATAAATCATTATTAAGTAATCCAGAAGATTTACCAAAAGGATTCAATATTTTGGAATATATTAATAAATCTTATTCAATAATTAATACAAATCTTCCAGAATAATTAGATAAAAATTTGGAATAAGTAAAAAATGATAATGTGATAATTAACAAAAATTTGTTTTTAGGTTGTGCAATAGTTTTTGGATATTTGATTTTTCTTATATTTTTGGGTTTTGTTGATACTTTTGTGTGTATTATTTTATCAGGATTTACACTTTTATCTTTATTAGATACTTAAGTGGCTTCAAAAGTATAGATTATATTATTAATTGATTTAGAGTCTTAAGGATGAGGATGTACTTGTTGCTGTTTGTCTAACATATGTAGATTTCTTTAGTCCAATAAAAAATTTTATCAGAAGTACATCAATTAAAATTTGATAATCATTCATATTATATAATAATCAATATTGAATAGATGCCATAATTTATTAGATTTGTGTGAAGAAATAATTTATAAAAATAAACTTAACTTAAACTTATTAATATTATAGAAATGGGATCAACTTGTCTTCAAATCCCAATTAATCAAAATGACATTTCACTTTGGGATCAAGTGTCCATAAGCAAACAAGAAAAGTATGCTTAATTAAGAATTCAATAAAAATTCAGTGAATCATCATCATGTCCTGATGAACATGTTCAAATGACTAGTCATTCAAATGATGAAAATGATAATAGTTAAGATGATATAAGTCTTCCTATAGTGGATTAAAGTCCAGCTAAGACTTGCAAGAGCATTTTAAAAAATAAGAATGATTTTTAGATTGTACGATCTAATAATTAAAATAAAACTGTTTCATTTAGTTTTGTACCTCCAGATTAATTAAAAGAAATGATGAACTCAAAAGGAAAATTATCAGAAGAATAAAAAAGATTTCTTGAATCATTATATGAATCAGTTTGAATAGAATAAATTATTTTGTATATTATAAAAAACTATGATATAATTAATAAATAGTCAAAATTCAGTATTGATGGTTTCACCTTTTGTTTAAATAATGAGGGTGAGAATTAGAGTAGCAATACCAGAAACTTTTTTTATTGAGACACCAGAGAATCTTTATTAAAGAATGTTAATCATTTCACTTTGTCCAAGATCACCATTTTTTTTAAAAGCCTACACACATTATTTAAATACTTCATCAAAATGTCTACCTAATTTTTATATTAATCTTGCTTTTAAATTCTAATTTATTTAATAATTATATACTCTAATCTATTCATTAATTGGTGGATTATCAAAATCATCTTCAACTATTTCTTGCAATTATGATATCATTTCACTCATTTCATCATCTTTTTTAAATGGATCTTTATATATAATTTTATTTTTCTTTCGTCTTTCCTCAATTGAATTATTAAAATCCTAAAATTCTATATTAGATTTAGTTAATGTCAATGGAGTACTATCAGCCTCTTCAATAGGATCTAATACTTTCTCTTCTTCTTCTAATTATTTTCTTTTTGGACTAAAAAATATATTGCTTTAATGATTCACTATTTATCTACCACTCTATTAACGATCAAATGATTTAATTTATTTTTTTAATAAAAGATGTTTATCTGTAAGTATTTTACCACTCTATATCCTTATGTTCAGTGAAGGTGATTTCATCATTTTATTAGGTGTCTCAGGACCTTCTGATAATTAATTCTTTCTTCTTGGAGATTATCTTTTAGGAGATTATACATGAAGTACTGATTGATTCTATTTCAATTGTACTCTTTTACTAAAATCAGGTGTATCTATAGTTCTTTTTATTTCAGGTAATTTATGAACACTAGGACTAGCTCTTTATTTTGGTGTAGCTACTCGTCTTTTCAATTGAGGTAATTATTATACAGATTTCTTTGCTTTTTATGATTAATCAATCACTTATTATTCTTTTTAAAGTGTCTCACTTAGAAATGACTTGATTCTATCTCTGATTAATTACTCACGTAATATCTCATTGATAGCTGGTCTTCGATGTTCTTTACAAGAGAGAAGTTTCCCTATTAAACTGTGCTAGAAGTGAATGCAATTGCATACTTTCTTAATTTAATTGAATAATATTCCAAAGTTGGAGTTATTTCACATCTAACTACTTTTAAAGCAAGTTATGCTATATTATCACCTTCAAATGGTGGTCTTTTATTACACATTTCATATAGAACTACTCCCAAACACCAAATATCTTATTTAAATCCATATGGTTGATTCTCAAACATCTCAGGAGCCATATAATATGGTGTACCAATAACTGATTTTGCACAAGGAGATGTTGTTGATAAAATCTTAGCAATCCCAAAATCTCCCAACTTTACCATTCCTTCTTTTGTTAAAAACACATTTGAAGTCTTTATATCTCTATGAAGGATCTTTCGATCATGACAATACTTGACTGCCAAACTCAATTAAGTGAACCAATCAAGTACTTGAGATTCTGACAAAGAACCTTGTGTTTATTTTATCTTTTAAGCCAAATCACCACCATCAGCATAATCCATAACAATACACAATTTACCCTTCTTTGTTTTGTACACTTCCCTAAAATTTATTATATTAGGATGTTTCAATGTTGACATTATTTTAGCCTCTTTATATGCTTGCTATATCAATCAATATACTCTTACTGCAATCTCATCCTGTTTCATGAAAGACACATCTATCTATTTTATGACACATAATTGTCCATCTCTAATACTCTCAGCTACATATGCTTTTCCATATGCTCCTGATCCAAGGAGTTTTATACGTTTATAAACTTCTGACTCTTAGACTTTCATAATTTAAAAATCAATTCTTATAAATTAATACAATATAGTAATTAATAAATAATAGTAGTGATAATTAACATGATATTGTCACTACTATCTTCCCAAAATTGGTTTACTAATTTTAACTGATAATATTTTAATATTTTTCAATTATGTTTCTTTTTAATTTTATAACATCCATATATTAATATTCATATATTATTAAAAACAAACTATTATAATTTAATAATAATCTTAAAAATCAAATAATGAGTGATCTGTAAGATATAAATCCATATCCTTAAATTGATGAATAACATGATTCAAATCATTAGATTGAAGAACCTACAGCTTCATAAGCAATTCCAGTCAATCAATAAAATATCGTTTTAGATAATTGTACTACAACAAGAACAATTAGTGAAGCTTCAAGTGAAGAGAGAAAATAATTTCTAAAATAAAGTCTGAGAGCCTTGGCAATATAATAAATATTCTAATTTTCATTAGCTTTAGGTTTTGCATTTGTAGATGATTGGGGATTCTGTAGTAATTTCTTCTTATTCCTTTTCATTACATTGAGTCTACATTTATTTATAGCTACATATAAAGCAAGAGGAATGAAGAAAGAAGTAAGATTCTAAATAATTTATAGGAAAGAGTGATGAAATTTTAATGGCTAGGTTGGATGATATGCTATTCATTTGCAATAACTTTATTTTCAACTTTATTGAATGTGTTATTTTTTGGTTGGTTCTTTTATTTACCCTTCCTAACAACATCATTTTTATTACCTATAATAACTCTAGGAATGATTGTACATATATCATCTGGAAGTGTATGCATAAATACAAAATGTAAAGAGAATATATTAATTTATATAGAATATACAATTATCTTTTTTGTTTTGATTTTCTTTTTAGATTTAAGTATTTCTGTATTTGATGAGGGATATATTCATTTTGGATATTTAATAGGAGAGATTGTAGCATATTTATATGGATTATATTTGACATTAATTAATGTTTAAATTTAATATGTAAGAATTTAACATAACAATTATTTTAGCCAGTCAATGACTTATCACTAAATATTGAATAGGAAGAAACTAAATTAGATTAAGTGATGAATTTATTAGATAGAGGAACATAAAAATTTGAAGTAGGTAGTATCCCAATTGATGCTTAAGAAATTACAATGGAAGAGATTAAGAAATAAAGTAATACTTAAAGATTGTTAAAATTGGCTATTCTTTAAGCATTCTGTATATTTTTCTATATGGTTCCAATATTATATTTGGTTTTAATGATTTGGTTAATGGTTGTAGCTCATAAAGCAAATACAAAATTTGTATAGATTGGCAAGAAGTATGAAGTTAAATTGAATGAATAATATGTTGCTCCGATATTAATTAATTTAGATATATTGGGAGGATTGAAACATGCAATAGAATGAATATGTATAAAAATATCAAAATTCACTGTTATTCATAGAAAATTAATAATAATGCAGAATTATGTTTATGACATAGATTCGATAAGAGGACTCAATCTTTCTTTAAAAGTACCATTGAGTCTTTTTGCATATATGGTGGATGAAATTTATAAATTCACACTTTCTTATTAAAGTGCCTTTTCACTCTAATCTATGCTTTAGATATTTTAGCGTGAATCTGTTGCATTAGATATATAAGAGGGGGAATTTTGTATCAATAGTTATGTTTACTTAATTCGATTTGTGTAAAAGAATAATATCACAGCAGAACATTTAAGTAAATGGTTAAAAGAGAATACACTTGTTTAAGATGATCATAGAGAATATCTAATGAAAGTATTAAAAGGTTTTGATCCAGAGACAGTAAAGAAAGTATTGAGTTTAGGAAAGTTAAAAGAATTGAAATGGACAGTCAATTAATACAATGGAGATGTCAAATATCCTAATTTAAAGAAATTGTATATTTTATTAGAATTCCATATACAAGATGAGAAAGGAAATCTATAGAAATAAATTATTAATCTAACCATCTAAGAATTTAAAATGCTTTAAATGGAATTTAAGGAAATTGGTGATATTTTAAGAAGTTTTATGTGAATTTATATATACACTAATTATTGAAAAATATTATGTTTGTACATTCATAAAGAATAATTACTTAATTAGGTATTATATATAAATCTTCAAATTATGATATAAATCATTTCTCATTTTTAGTTTCATAAAACTTTATGTATTAACTGACCATCTCATTTACTTATTAACCCAATTCTTATTACATTTACATTTTCAATCTCCTTCTATAACACATAAACAAGAATAAACCAAAAAGTATACAACTCACGACTGCAAATGCAATCATAGCCCAATTTATTTCACTTCCACTACTTGGAGAATCATCCTCTTATTATTATAAAGACAAACAAACTGTTTAATCCAACATATCTAAATCATAATATTTATCATACTGCTGCATATATCTTCAGTAACACTTTCAGCCTCCAAATTACCATGATATGGTTTTCCATTCACTAAAACTCCTGGAAAATATACAATTCCACTTAATGATTTATTTCCTACCCATTAATCCATTATTATATTTTCTTTTAATTCTTTTGCCTTTTTTGAATCCTTTTCATATGAATTCTCCACACATTCTCCTATTACTTTTTATTTCATTATATAATTCTCATTTGAACAAGCAGCATAATGTTACACCTAAAAACAATTCTTATCAAAATAATCCTAAATTTTTTTTTATATTTTCTTATACCATATACTCAAACCATTGAGTTGCATTATTAATCCAAATACAATGTTATCTCAATTATTCTTCTATCACCTATCTACCAAAACCTTCTCCCCTTATTTACATACAATATCTTCCACCTCCCATACATTAATCATTTGGTTATGTAAAATTAATTCTTTTATCTCTCTTACTCACTTCTACTTCATAACTGATGTAGAATTACACCTGTTTCTCCAATATTTTATAGTATTACTAAAATTCCCTTATAAATTTAAAGCCTGATTTATCATTTAGGGTAATGAACAAAATTACTTCAGGCTGTAATATATGTTTATGTTGCATACTTTTTCAACTTTCTTTGAATCATTGAATGAAATTAATCCATATTGTCGTGATTCTGATGTTATCGTAATTTCCTGTAATAATAATTCACCATCCTATTTGGCAATCTCAATTGTTGGGATATGCACCTTGAAACCCATCCCATCATTATTTAACTCCATTACATTAGTTACGTTAGCCTTTTTACTTATGATTACTAATAACTTAGCTCCCAATTCCTATGCTACATATGCCTAATCCTAATATATAGAATATACTTTTGTGGTTGCTGAACAATTTCCTATACGTCCAACAACCCAAACACTCTCTAAGTCTGGTAATTTCTGGATATTGGATTTATTGCATAGATCTAATTAGTTATCTTCTAATTCTTAAGGAGCCACCAAAAATCCACCTAAAGTGCGTCCATATGGAATATGTCCAAAATTTGCTAATGAATAATTCAAAATCCTTAATTATCCATCCATATAGATTTAGAATTTAGCTGTAACCAAATATGACAAGATAGAAAATATCAGCATCTATTTGCTTTAAATTTATTATAATTATATTCAGAATTATCAACTAAAATTATAACTAATTCTCAAATTCTGATGTAATCGTAACATCATTATTACGAAATATATAAACATATAAACTAATTTCTTATTAAATATTTCATTTTATTGTTGACGCATAGTCATTTTCTCAAATATTATGTTTAGTTCTTATTTATCATTTATACTATTAAATCTTTTAATAACATTTTAAAACATATTTTAACTATTCTTTTGAATTCTTGTATGTAATCAATCATTAGATAATATTAGAGTTAAAAAATTTTTTTTTTTTTTCAAAAAGTTATTGATATTAATGATTATTTCAAAGAAATCATAACAAATTTTGTTTATACTCTTTAGGAACAAAATTGAAAAAATTACTTACTTTATATTGAGTTTTAAAAATTGAAATATAAGTTTTTAGTGAAGTAATTAAATTTTTATGTTAAAAGACAGATAAATAAAGAGATATTTCCAATTTTTACGTTATTTTATTTTGAGTAATAGGAACAAATAATTTTTAGGCCTTCAAGAATTAATGTTTTTTATAAATATTATCTACAGTGAATGACTTTGTTAAAATTATTATTCATTATTTTTTATAATTATAGTCTATTCATTTCTTAAAATGCAAAAAACAATTCTTTTAAAAATCCAAATCTAAAAATTATAAATATATTTAATATTTAGCTAATTTAGCATAATATATCAAATATTTAAGATTATATCATAGTATTTAATAGCAATTAGATATATTCATAGATGATAGATATGTATATTAATTTTTCATTAGAAATAATAATAAACTATTTGGATTTAAATAATTATTTATTAAAAATAAAATCATTATATGTCTCCTGAAATTTCTAGTAATGAATGTTAATGATGCATTCTATAGACTTTAGAGGCTTTAAATTAATTTTAATATTTTACTTTCCTATTATTTTTAAAATGCCTTTAGGAATGATTAAGGTGATTAAGGTAATAATTTTCTATCAATTTTGGTGTTTAAATTGGAAGCAGAGGAAGTTGGTTAATTTTCTTTCTATCTAATATAATTATTTTATGGAGGGACATCTTCATATTTCTATTCTCTTGAAGTAGAAGCACCAATGGCAATTTGTTAGGTTGATTATTTCCAAAATGGCTTAGGCATAACAGATAGAGAATCTCTTCCATAATCTCTAGAAGACTAAAGTCCTTCATTTTTAGGTGATCCCACTATAAATTTATTTATTTTTATCTCTTACTTTATGACATGCTTCTGCTTGGTTATTCAACTTGATCTATAGTATCTAATTCTAAGAATTTACGATATGCTGTTGAATTTCTTACAGGGTCTAATTTAGCTAAATCTCTAATATATGATTGTAAAGCTCTTCTTCTATCTTCAATGACTGTAGGTC